AGAATATCTAATTAAAACTCTTTCCTCATAAATTCTGCTCAGCATGGAAAGGAACTACCTACTTACTAAGAGTTTTCTTCATCTCTGGGAATTTGTCTTGTTGGTTCTGCATCATCACCATATCCTCCTTCTGGAATTCATTTTTTTAACTTTTTTTATTGAGTTATAGTCATTTTACAATGTTGTGTCAATTTCCAATGTAGAGCACAGTTTTTCAGTTATACATGAACATACACTCATTGTCACTTTTTTTTTCGCTGTAAGCTACCACAAGATCCTGTATATATTTCCCTGTGCTATACAGTATAATCTTGTTTATTTATTCTGCATATGCCTGTCGGTATCTACAAATATTGAAACCCCAGTCTGTCCCTTCCCACCCCCACCCCCACCCCCTTGGTAACCACAAGTTTGTATTCTATGTCTGTGAGTCTGTTTCTGTTTTATATTTCTGGTTTTTTTTTTTCTTTTTTAGATTCCACATATGAGCGATCTCATATGGTATTTTTCTTTCTCTTTCTGGCTTACTTCACTTAGAATGACGTTCTCCAGGGACGTCCATGTTGCTGCAAATGGCGTTATGTTGTCGTTTTTTATGGCTGATGGAATTCATATCTTATGTTTATTTTATTTCCTATTACTCTTCCTTCTCCATGACCCTGCCATCATTTATCAATCACCAATTCTATCCTTTCCCTGAGAATTATTTTTTCAAGAATCAATTCTAGTTTTAGTGATGATGGTTTTGACTTTTCACTGTGGAATTTGAAGATTTAGCTTACTTTACATCCTCTTTCCTCATCTTCCAAATATACTTACAGCATAAATTTAATTAAGTCATTATTTAGTTCACTTAATTGCTATGTAAATGGTTTTCTTTTCCATGAAGTTGAACCTTGTCTTAATTTTCTTAGTTTTCTATATGTCTGGCACTAACCTAACTCTTTTCAGACACATGAGGTAACTGGTTTGTTTTTTGAGGCATCTTCCCCTGACCCTCTATTGTTCTTACCCAGGGACAATTGTTACATAGCTAGTTTTTAGAATTTCCCTTTATTATCATCCAGTGGATTCCTTTAGGATCACCCCATTGATTCCCTTTACCACTCCAATTTGAGTTCCTTTTTGATTCTCTTCTGTTTTTGCATGCCTTGGATACTTTTATATACTTTAACTGTTGGATCTCCTGCCTTCCTCTTTCTTTCTTTGCTTTCTCATTCTGAAACACATCTTTCAAAAATATGCCAAAGAAGTAAACAGCATATTTTGTGAATCCTTGCATGAATAAAAATGTTTTCATTTCACCCTCATAATTTGATTGATAATTTGACTGGAGATGTAATTTTAGGTTGAAAAAGTTACTTCAAATTTTTGAAGGCATTACTCCAAGGATTTCTGAAGTTTTCTAGCATCTAGTGTTGTTGAGAATTCCAAAACCTATTCAGGTTCTTAATTATTTTAGGTGACCTGTTTAATCTTTTTGAAAGCTTTTAGAGTTTATTATTTATTTGTGATGTTCTCATGTTCATGTTGAAGTATCATGATGTTCATTTTATTCTTTCATTTGGCTGGGCACTCACTGAGACTCACTGAGATTCTAGAAACTAAAAATGACTAGAATTTTCTTCTATTATTTTGTTGATCATTTGTTTCCCATTGTTTTCTCTTTTTCTCTATTCTGTATGTTTCAACTTTGATCATTTTTTTGTATCCAGTGCTTGGCACTGTGTCTGACACAGTAAGGGCTCATTAAATTTTCTGAATGATTAAACACTCATAATTCAATCTTAAATTTCTTGTGCTAGCCCTAGAATTTTTTTTTCCTATTTTCCACCTTTCTTTTTATGTTGTACTTTCTGTGAGATAATTTTATTAACTTCTAATCCTGTATTATTTCTTATAAAAACGTATTTCTTTTTTCTGGCATCATTCTCTTGTGGGATTGTTACATATGGTTTTTAGAAGCATTCTTTTGAATGTTGGATTTTTTTCTCCTTCATTGTCTCTTTCCAGAGTTGTTTTCTCTTTATTTTTAAGCTCTTATATTTAAGGTTTTCCTGAAATAGCTAGTGACTCAAGGCTATTAGCTCATATAAACCCATGGCATTAAAAAGCCCATTTGAGCTCGTTAGTGACTGAGGATTTGTAGATTTGTTAATGTAGTCACTGTAGAGTGATCTGCCTAGAACAGACACCACCTGTCAGGTCTTTCCTCTTGGGCTGATTTTCTCCAGAATAGATTCCTCTGCTTTCTTTCTGGAATTAAAAAAATAAGCTTGGCTGCCAGATTCTGTGAGTTTATTGGGTATAGTGGGCTCGAAAATCAGCGTGCTATATAGAGTAGGTTTGAGAATCTGAGGTCTGTCTGTTTCTTGGAGATTTTCAGTTAATATTCCATTTTATAGCCCCTTATGCACCCTGTTTCCTAAGGTGCCTGACGATTGTGTTCCTGAAAATAACTGACTTTCTACAATAGGACTAATCTGTGACTTAGGTTTCAGGGTTTGTTTGGGTTTTTTTAATGGCTACTATATCATTTATTAGTGTTTCATCTAGTCTCTAGTTTCCAAATTTTTATTGCTGCATTTTCCCTCCACTCTCTTTGTCCTCATGGAGTTTCTTCTTTTCTTTAATCTCATTACTATCACTTTAGTGGAATTTCATAAAAGAGCAGTAATAAATGCATATATCCAATGTGCCGTGTTTGAAAAAATTATGTCCTCTCTTCCTAGAGGAATTTTTTAGACATTTTTCATTAAGGAGTATATCTTTACTTGCTAATTGAGTCAGTGAATATTTGTTGATCTTCCAATATGTGTCATATACCATACTCAGAGATGGATTCACACTGATGAAGACAACAGACATTTTCCTTGCCGTCACAGAACTTAAGACCTATTGCGGGAAAAAAGGTATTAAATGAATCTAAATAAATATGTTATTACAAACTGTGGAAATCCTGTTAAGGAAGAGATCAGAGTGCTCAAAGTGTAATTACAAGGAGGGTATAATTTGGTAATAGGATCAGAGAAGGCCTCAAAAAGTATGACCTTTGAGTAGAGATTTGGAAAATAAGTAATAGTTGTCAAGGCCAAGAGTAAAAGCAAATACCTTCTAGACAAATGGAAAAGTTACCTGAAAGGGCCTAAACAGGGACTATCAGCTAGGAGCATTTGAAGAACTGCAAAATAGGGCTAATGTGGGTGGAACTCAGAAACCAAAAGGGAACAAACACACTGTGAGATTCAGTTGAAAGGGAGGCAAGAACCAGATCATTCAGAGCTGTGTCAACCGTGTTCAGGAGTTTGGCTTTTATTTTAAGAGCAATATCATAATGGGAAACCACCAAGGGACTTTAAGCAGAGCAGTGGCCGGCTAATGCCCTTCTAGTGAAATGGATCTGAGATTGCAAACCTCAAGTGAGGAAACCAGGCAGCAGACTATTCAGTAGTTGAAGGAGAGATATTTCATTAGGTGTTATATTTACTATAAAAGGAAGAGTTTCAGGATATATTTAGGAGACAGATTAGGCAGTATTTGCTAGATATATTATGAGAGGAAGAGGAAGAAGATGGTACTAGAGTGATCTTTACTTTTTTGGCTTGAGGTTTCCCCCCAGGGTGCATAGTATGGTGTTCAAAACACTTCACTTGCCTAACATCCCCATTTTTGTATGGAAATTCTTCCATAATACTATCTTCCAAATTCGAATTTTATACCCAGTACTTTTTCATATAGTATTCCCAGTCCTCACAATGATTGCAGGAGTTACCATTCCTATCATGCAGACGGACAACTGGGGGCTCAGAAAGATGAGCTAATTTGCCCAAGAAAACAAAGCTTGTAATTAACTGAGTTTGACTTCAAAACTCCTATAACTGAACCTTGTACCTCTGATCTTTCAATAGCAATACACTGCCTCCCATTAAATTCTTTTTCCTTCTCTTTGAACCTACAGACGCCCTTCCTGTTAGTTGGCCATCACTGCTGTAGTGCTTGGGCACTTGTTAACACCTCTCCTCTTTTTCTCTAAGTTCAGAATCACAGAATTCCAAGGCGTAGTATTTTCATCGAAGTATTTTCATATACCGTATCTAATCACAAAAAATTTTCCCTATACACCACCCATGCTAGATTCACTCAACACTTGACTTTTCTTAAGGTATTACATAATCTAGAATTTTCAGCAGTGGTGAAAATGTCTTATGTTTGTGATTTCCAATGTGGTTGACACTAGCCACATTTGGCTGTTGAACACTAGAAATGTGGATACTGCCACTGAGGAACTGAATTTGAATTTTTATTTAATTTGAATTATGTTAAATTCATATAGACACATATGCTAGTGGCCACTGTAATGGACAATACGGATCTAACCAGGGCCTGGTGAACTTTTTTTTTAAGGGCCAAATAGTAAATATTTTAGGCTTGCAGACAATACAATCTCTGTTGCAGCTACTCCTGCCACTGTAGCTCAAAAACAGCCACAGACAATACATAAACGAGTAAGTTTACGTATTCCAATAAATACATAATGGCTGCGTTCCAATAAAACTTTACTTATAAAAATTATTCCAAGTCTTCGCCAACCCCTGGAAAATTTCCCTCAGCCATACTCATTTAATCCTGACAAGAGTTATTAAGTAGGTATGATCATTTCCCTTGTTTTACAGCTCCTGCTGTGGGATGCTTTTATGTGTGTGTGTGTGTGCATATGCTGTAAGATTTTTTGTGTGTGTATGTATGATTAGAGTCAAGCTGTAGCAAGGGAGTCTAAGGCATCTGTGTATTTAGCAAGCTCCCCTAAGTAATTCTGATTTATAGCAACATCTGGAAACCAGTGGCTTTCTTACTGCCCTCATCTTACTGTGCCATCTTTCCGCACTCTTCTTTTCTTGTCCTTTTTTTTTTTAATTCAGTTTAATTCTCCCATTTTAATTGAAGTTTTATTTCTCCCAAACAAGAAAAATGTGAGTGATTGCTTTCATATTTTCTTTCAGTCCTGGAATCAAGATGTGAGACCAAGAAATTATTTCTGAAGAAGGAAATTTATGAAATAGAGTCAGCCCAGTGGGAGATAATGGAAAGACTTACAAGACATGACCTTCAGTGCTCTAGTTTCAGAGGTGACTGGGAATGTAATGGCCAGTTTGAGAGACAACCTGGCTCTCAGGAGGGACATTTCAGTCAACTGATATTCACCCATGAAGGCATGCCCACTTTTAGTCAACATCCATCCTTGACATTACAGCAAATCATTAATAATAAAGAGAAATACTGTGCTACTAAGGAATATAGGAAAAACTTTAGACATGACTCACAGCTTACCACACATCACATAATTCATACCATTGAGAAACCTTATGAATGTAAGGAATGTGGAAAGGCCTTTAGACATCCCTCAAGACTCAGTCATCATCAGAAAATTCATACTGGCAAGAAACCCTTTGAATGTAAGGAATGTGGAAAACCTTTATTTGCGGCTCAGACCTTACTCGCCATCACAGAATTCACACTGGTGAGAAGCCCTATGAATGTAAAGAATGTGGGAAAGCCTTTAGTAGTGGCTCAAACTTTACTCAGCATCAGAGGATTCACACAGGGGAGAAGCCCTACGAATGTAAGGAATGTGGTAATGCCTTTAGTCAGAGCTCACAACTGATTAAACATCAGAGAATCCACACAGGTGAGAAACCCTATGAATGTAAGGAGTGTGAAAAGGCTTTTCGTTCTGGTTCAGACCTTACTCGACATCAGAGAATTCATACTGGTGAGAAGCCCTATGAGTGTAAGATATGTGGGAAGGCCTATTCTCAGAGTTCACAGCTTATTAGTCATCATAGAATCCATGCTGGTGAGAAACCCTATGAATATAGGGAATGTGGAAAGACCTTTAATTATGACTCACAACTTATTCCACATCAAAATTTGTACTGGTGATAAAACATAGAATATCTAAAATGTGTGGGAAGGCTTTTAATTACAGCTCAAAACTATTCAACATCAACTATTCAACAAGAGAATTTATCTTGATATTAATCCCTCTAAACAGAATCATGTAGAAACATCTTGTCAATGACAGCTTATTCAGCCATGAAAAATCTTGTAGGAGAAACTCCCTATGAGTAGAATACACTTTGGAAGCCCTTTAATAAAAGCTCCTGTTTCTCTTGCCATCAGATAATTCAGTCTCTTAAACATTGAAAATGACAGCAGCACTTTGGGCACCTTTCTAACCTTATCTTAAACATCAAAGTATACATGCTGAAATGTAATCCTGTGACTTTCATTTTCTTTTTCCCCAGATTTGCCTATAGTTGTTACATTCATCTCTTAATGCATCTTAAATTCATATGACTGTAAAGTCCATCTGTTACATCACGGTTTGTAAAATACCTTTATTTTAAAAATACCTTTAATGCCCAATAAAAGTGACCTCTTTATTTTTGAAGATGTCTTATTCTTTCTGCTCTTTACAAAATTCAGACATTCTTACTGTAAAACACATTCATGGACAGCTTATCACTCACTACATGGAGATCCTAGGATCTTCATGGTTGTTTCCATGTGTTGCTGTAATATTTCATCAAATCCCTATTGATAGACATCGCAGTTTCCTCCGGAGTTTTTGCTGTTATACACAGTGCCCCAATGGACGCTCTCCCTGGGCGTATCCTTGAATCATGTCTTTTATTTTAATTGCAGAAATAATGCATCAATGTGTTTTCCTTATAATAGATTTAAACATTGCAAATAAGGCAGACATACCCTTTGACCATTATCCTTGCACTCATTTCCCTTCCCAAAGGATAGTCTTTATCGGTTTAGTATTTATCCTACCTGAATAATTTTGCTTTTTATACATATATGTCTCAGCAGAAATTATAAAGTGAGGATATTTATAATACCTACCTCATAATTTTGTGTAAGGATCAAATAAAGACAAAGTTTTTAGAATTGTGCCTGTCATATAATAAATAGATATCCACAGAATGTTGGTCATTGCTACTATATTCATCATTGTCATTAGTATCATTTGTTGAAAAGCAACTGTTTCTACAGACCTTACTCAACATCAGGATATATAATGGAAGAAAGATCCATTGAGGGTAATGAAGTAAGAAAATTTGCCATCATCACTTACTTCCTATGGCACATGAAATAATCCTGGGTGTTGGTGGGGAAAGTAACGTGTGTAATGAGCAGGAAAGGCTATATTCAGAGTGGTATCCTTTTTGCTACATCATATAATACCTACTGTAAAAACAGTAATATAGACAAAACATTGGTGACACTGATGAAGAAAATGTGTGAAAAGACAAACAGAACTATGAAAAATGGATATGCAGACATATAAAAAAAAGCCTTATAGTTATCAATTTTAAATTTTACACTGAATGCAATGCTTCTTTCCAATACATTTGAAAACCTAGACAAAATTATTTTTTAGGAAAATAAAAATTACTAGTATTGACTCCAAGTCAATTAGAACCCTTGGAAGACCCTCTCATAAACAGATAAAGGGATATTTAGCGTGAGATGTAGTGGCTGTTACTAAAGAAGCAACAAACCCAATTTCTTTTCAGGTAAAACTTTTTTAAATTGAGATATAACTGATGCTAACATTATATTAGTTTCAGGCGTACAACATAATGATCTGATACTATGTATATTGAGAAATGACCACAGTCAGTCTAGTAAACAACCGCCACCATATATACTTACAGAATTTTTTTTCTTGTGATGAGAACAGGCAAACTTAACCAAGCGTTCAAGGAACTATTTGTTATATAGAAGTAGACATCTCATAACATACTCCAACATAATCCTGATGTTAGAAATGGGTTAGGAAGACACAAGAAAGGAAGCTCTTTTTCAGGTTCATCCATGAAGATATAGACAAGCATACTAAAGAAAATAGCAAATTGTAGGTATCTATTAAATGAATAATAGAAATGAGCCTGGTTGAGACAGTAGCTAGAGAGGATGCCCAGTGCCCACTTCCAGCTAATGAGTGCTATGAGGAAGTGCAGGCCTCATTTTGCCAGATCTTCTGACTTCTGGGGAGAATCCAGAATCTTCCTTTGTGCATTGTGTGATAGCCATTGATTTTTAAGTGGCAGCTCCTGTCTTGTTTTTTTTTTCAAACATGATGGGGACCAAAGAAGATATATTGACCCTGCAAGTAGCAAGTGACCCATAGGTTAATTTTGTTCTGGATGCTGGAGCAATAGGTGAGCAAAAGGCTCACAGGAGAAATTCTTAATAGTGCAAATTCCTTGGTCCTGAGGAAATTTAAGTGGGGCAAGGGATACTATAACATGACAATTTTCCCAGAATTTCTTAAATATGAAAAGTACTTCCAGGGATAAAGTAGCTAATTTCTAACTACAAAGTTTTTTTTTTAAGGACTTGATCCATATCCATATTTTCTATATGTAGATTTTTTATTATCTGCATCATGTCAGTTAAAAAATAGAATAAATATATTATATGTTCTATATCCTATTCTTGAACTATACATACACACACAACGGAAAATTTTAAAAAGGTTAACCTAAAAAAAAAAAAAGCCAGACCATCCCTATTTTGCACTAGCAGCAAGTATGTCACTGGAATTATGTATTCTGTTTTGGACCAAAGGGTCAGCCAACTTTCTGTAAAGGGCTGGAAAGTAAATATTTTACCCTTTGTAGGCCATATTATTTCTGTTGCAACTACTCAACTCTGCCATTATTGTGTGGAAGCCTGCTAAAGATTTCTTAAAAAAATCTTAAAGTTTAAAAAAAAAAAAGTGTCCTGCAGGTTTAGGTTAGTGTTCTGAGATGGGCCTTTCCTGGGCCTCAACTTTCGTGCTCAAGCAAGCAGCTTCCTACATTGGATGGATACAACAGTACCTGTGGAAGGAAAATCCATATATCTGAAGTTCCTATAGGTCTGTCCTTCCATGCCCCACTCTCTTTTTTAAATCCCACATTAGAGGACATTAAAAGAAAAAAATTTTGAGTTACTATATTTTTTACCAGGTATGAAGAAGTAAAATACTTCATAATCAATTTGAGATAAGTAGAATGAGCTGCATACCTGCAGATGGGAGAATTAGTAAAGATGAAGCTATTTTGTTCTAATGTTTTGCATTACTACCAAAATGAGAACTAAGTGACATTTTATAGTCTTTGGTGTGCGTATTTCAAGTTATGTATTAAGTTCCTCATCTAAAATTACAGAGGTAATATATTTGCACCCAAACCAGTGAAACAATGCCAATAAAAAGAAAAAAATCAGTATCTCTGCTCCTCTCCATTCCTCACTCCCTCCCTCTCTGTCCATTTCCTTGTGAGTAACATTTAAGCCTTGTGTATATATTTCTTCATGCTTAAACACTAATACAAATAAATTATTTATTTTAGTATATTTTTACCAAAAAATGGATGATACTTTATACATTTCTCTGTAATTTGCTTTTTTACATTCAACTGTACATTTTGGATTTTCTTTCATCAGTAAATAATGATTGAACTTAGTCTTTTAAATGATTACAGCATATTCCCCAGTATGCTTATACCAATACCTACTCAACTACAGTATTTCCCCAGTTCTGATATTTCAGATTGTCTCCCCTTCTTTGCCGTTTAAAATCGGTGCTGCAATAAACACTCTTAACAATATATTCTTGTCTATTTTATTTCTATAAAATAGATTTCCCAAACCATTTCCAATGTTTTCTATGTTTCTTAAAAAGGTATTGTTTATAGAAAACTTCAGAGGGCAAGAAGATAAAGGAACAAAGTGCAGTTTTTCATATATGTGTTTATGTGAGTGTATAAACACACACACAGATTTAACATTTAATCCATCTGGATTGATTATTATATATGGTATGATATAGTATGTCAGCTTTGTTTCCTGTTCAGAAATAAAGCAAATTATGCCAGAAACAATTATTAAACTGTTCATCTACTGAATTAAAATATATAAAATACTTCTCATGTAATAAATGCTCATATCCTCAGATCTACATTCCAGCAATCTTTCATTTATACTTTTCAGTAACTTATTACTTGTAAATAAAGATACATATATTATAAATATATAGTTTTTATTTGAAGATAAAGATAAATGTTTCTTTGTTAGAATTTTTAAAATATTTTTATCCAGTTCCAATTAAAAACTCATTGGGATTATATTTTGAATTACTCAAGTTTTAAATACAGAGTATCCCAAATAAGTGCACAATTGACAATGAGTGGCTATTCATTAATATATGTGTATGTCTTGAAATTTCTTTGACAGCTCTTCATCCTCCTTACCCTCTAATATCTTTATAATGTACATAAAATATAATATATACAGTTCTTAAAATATGCTAGTAATATCTGAAAATTTAACATATTTTATTAGGGTATTGATTATAAAGTGATTCTTTTGACTTCTTATAATGTGCAGATAAAGGTATATACCCATCTCACAGTATTATACCTATTTTATTTTCTTACCTTATTTCATGCTATAGACCTGATGACAGTGGTTTTGAGCAGGACTTTGTCTTTTAACTATATTTTCCCCATTTTTACAGACTGAAGGGTTAGATTTTGAGAAGAATTTCTGCTTCCTATTTTCACCCCTACTCTTGTTTGCGTATCGTAAGAAAAATGATGTATTGCTTTGGTGAAATGTGTTAAAACACATAAATTACCTCTCTATATTTGACCCTGAATTTCTCATGTTCCTGGGGCAGGCTATGATTCTGTATGCCACTTTGCAGACCCAGTCCTCCACCTGTATATGACCCAGTGTCTAGAGTTTGAATGAAGTATTAGGACATGCATTTTAAGCTTTACTGACAAAAATGTTCTATTTTTCAATCAGTCCAGAAATCAGAACAAAAAAGTTGTGATTAAATTATTATCCACAATTTTTTTTTCTGTAGGCATATTTGTTTTATTTCTAATTTTAATGGGAACATACTGGTTACAGTCAGTATGTTCTACCTTTTGTTAATTTGACTAGATAAGGAATTGATTCAAATGATACTGAGTTGCTCATAGGAAATGTTAGAGTGCTGAAGAACAAAGATACAGAGCCAGGAATAGTGCTCCAAATGATGACACAGAACTTGTGTGGTAAGGTCACCACTGCTGTTGTTGTACACAGAATCCCCAACTCAAAATACTGACACCATGGGTGCTGGACTTTGGACATTCCTGCTACTGCCACCTATGTACCTGGTGTTACCCATCACCCAGATGGAATTGCCACTGTCCTTGTTCCCTTGTACCATCACCTTGCTGTTCTGAGAGGAGTGTGTTTGAGTGCTGAAGCTTAGGTCCCATCCCTGTGCATGAGCTGGTGTAGAGGCTGAGACGCATTTTCAGGTTAGTGAGAATCAGCCTCTGCTTCTTAAAGATGGATGTTTCATCATAGCAAGGGTACACATGAACTGGGCAGCCAAATAAATGATCAGTGTTCACAAGATGGCTTACCGTTAATCATACATAATTCTTCCCATAGCCGAAAATGAAAATCTCACTTAAGGTAATACAGCTATTCCTCACTCAACTGAAAACACGCTGGGTAATGTCTATACCTCCTGTATATGCGTTAGGATCCTTTGTAGCCATTCTGTACCTTTTGTCTAAGTTGTAACAATCTACATAAAAGAAAAAGGAGAGTCTGGGGACTATATATTATTTAAGGGGAGGGGAGCATGAGAAAAAGTCATCTTGCATGATAACTACATCAGACAAGATCTTCAAACAAACTATCTCTAATGATGCATCTTGTCTTAAAGTTTAGGTTGTCTGCTAGTAGTACAGTTACATGAACTTTCCTGTTCATTGTTTGCATGATACAATTTTTTCCATCCTTAATTTCAATCTTTTTGTGTCCTTAAGTTAGAGATGTGTTTGATAAACACAATACAGTTGAATTTTTAAATTCAATTTGACATTCTCTGTCTTTAGAGTATTAGATCTAATTTATTCAATATGACTATGGGTATATTTTGCTTTAAATCTACCATCTTGCTTTGTGCT